ACTTGAAAATCAATACACAGTGGATATAATTTTTTTGTAACACTTAGAACAACCTGAGTTCCTCAATTGTCATGAGGTTTGCTGAGTGTCTGTAGACAAGTAAAATTAAAGTAAACTAACGTAAGTAATGAGAACAAATTATGGAACCTATTTCTCCCTTTTTGGAAGTTTTCGAAACTGTCAGTAAGTTATTACAGCACGAAACAATCACAAAACAATATTACGTAACACAACGTGACGTTATAATAAGCAGTGTATGGGAGTGATGAAACATATAGAGCGGGAACTTCAAGAATCAATTTTACAAACTAAAAAACAACTGACAATATAAATATTTCATCAGTGGGGTAAATTCATTATATATAGTTTTGGAGAGACCGGGTATGGGATGAGAGCTGGTTAATAAATTTTATACCTGATGAGGCTAAACTAATATTACCCCACCTCTGATGATTTTTTGATGAAATCCTGGCTTCCGATTGGTTGAAGTTTGTCATGTGAAGGGGGTGTATTACTTATACCTAGTCGCTTGAAAATCAATACATGGTTGATGCGGAGTTATCGTTCTTTTGTAACACTTCAAACAACTCGAGTTCATGAGGTTTGAGGGTGTCTGTTGATAAGTAAAAAGTTAATCAACGTAAGTAACGAGATGGAACCTTTTTCTCACTTTACTTAAAGTCTTGGAAACTGTCAGTACGTTATGAAACACTGGCAAAACAACATTACGTAACACACCGTGACGTCATAATAGGCATTGTATGAGTGATGAAACATATAGCGGAGAAAAACAATTTTACAAACCACAGACCACAAACATTTCATCAGAGGGTAAATTCGTTACATAGTTTTGAAGTGACAGGGTACGGGATGATACCTGACTGGTAAATTTCATACCTTGCTCGGCTTCGCCTCGCCAGGTATGAAATTTACTAACCAGGTATCATCCCGTACCCTGTCACTACAAAACTATGTAACTAATAATACGTGCCCTGAGTATAGCCCCCAGGCATGGGAAGGTGCAGTGATATGTGCTCATACTGCCACAAAATGGAGCAATGCAATAGTGGTGTGCTGCGCTTTGCGGCGCACTCTGCAAAATATGGGCATGCAATTCAGATTTTCTAGTTTGAGTTGGTGTTACTTTTAGATGTAGATTAATTCATATCGGGATGTATTCATCAAAGTTAGATGGAATCTGTGATGTATCATTTATAAAAATCAGTACCTCCATTCAATGTATTGACATCCACTGACGAAGAAACAAACTTTTTGACATGTGTGGTATGTAAGTGTCAAGTCATTAGGAACAGCTGACCAGTGCTATACAAATATTACAATGAAATAATATATCAACAAACTCTACTTATCTTGGACTCCCCTTGAATTCTTTATCTGCCTCTTTTTTTTTAAAAAAAGGGTGCTTTTGATTTAAATAATTTTTATAAATACTTATTTTGTTAGATGACAAATGATGATGATTTATATCATTAATGATTGAGCAATAAGGAAGGAGGCTAAGGAAATAGATGAATTTGTACATTATGTATTTGATGTTGGATGTTTTGGTGCTAGTGTACCAACAGCTGCTGGAGGTCAAGGTCAGGTCACTGGAATCCCCAGAAGGATCAGGGGACTACTTTCTGCTGCTAGAGATGTTTCAATGAAGCTGGAATCATCCTGGTTGGAGTTAGTTAAATTACAAAAGCTAAAAAAAACCAAGGAGAGTTTTCTTGTGACAACGAGTTCAAATACTCTGCTACCATAATGGTGGGTAGAGTAAGTATTCTGATGAAATGAAGCTGCTTCTCAGCCCTGCAGGTGCAAGGGGGAGGGGGGGGCAGAATGCATGGAGTAGGGTCTTGAGGTTGGGGAAAGTGTACCTTGTGCAGGTGACAGGGAGAAGTTTTCAGGAGTGACCCTAAGTTGACCTATGTCTGGAAAGGTCAAAAGAAGGGGTATATGACCTGAGCAAATTCTTCAAGTTTCTCAATGAGATCACAAGAGTATTGTATTTAGTTCTGGAAGTTGCAGATCCAGGCATGATATTAGAGGAAATCCACATATGGGTAGCCAGATGGATGGGTCAAGTTAAATAGGGGGTTTTAGCCTCTATTAAAGAGATGATGGACCATTTTTCAGCACGTTAGGTATTTTTACTCCTTTCAAACTACAAATACAACTATGAAGATGGTTGAGATACCTAATATCACTATATTGGTACAAACAAGGTAATAAGCAGTCCTGCTCAATGGAGCAGATTTCATGCAGGGCATAATGCCATATTGAGCTGTCTCGTCAGATATTGGAGACTCATGGGAGGAGGAATTGCTCCCAGATTATGTTTTAAGGTGTCTAGTTAAGTCATTGTAGTTTCTGACACTTTGCCGAGTGTCAGAGAGAGGCTGGAACTGGAGGGAATCAGTAGATCAGTTTATGCCAGAGGGGGAAGGTACTAACTGGGGAGGGCCGTGCCCTTCATGGTCACAAGATGAGGGAGTTCCCCACTGCAGGCCTATCTTTAGTACCTGAGGAAATGCTAGGATTAAGGGGACAGTATGTGAACATGTTAGTTCAGCAGGATAGACATTTATCCTGTTGATATGCTGATCAGCCTAATCATAGGATATGTCATGTACACTAATGATGGTAATCTTTGTGTCAGCAAAAGGAATTTCTCCAGGAGCCGTGCATGTAAGGGTAGTCGGAAATTGTCGGTGCAGCAACTGGGTGAATTTGAGGGGGATTAAGTTAGATTATTTATTTTGGAGGGCCAGAGCAGGTCCAGTTATGGATTGATTCAGGCTGACCTGTGTTTGATGTTACTGGCCAAATCTCAGGGATGTCCAAGGTGCATTTGGCAGAAGTACAAGCCATTCTATCTGACTCCGTACTTGTAGAGTCAGAGAGTCCCAGCCAACCATGTGGTGTTGAGTACTGTAGATTCCTAAATGTACACGAGGAATAAATTATCGTGTAATTACGCGAGAAGCACCGCTCGCGAAATAAAATTACTCGCTTTTATTTTTATGGTGCTTTAATGTATGTAAAATCTCTAGATAAATAAACCATTCGCGAATTATTATTCTCGCGATTTGACGCCCTTGGGTCATTTCGAGATAATAAGTACTCACGTAAAATAAGGAATCTACAGTATCCCATGGGCCTGAGGCATCAGTGCTGAGTAGCAGAAAGTGTCGGCAATTAGTGGTGAAGAAGACAACAAACCTGTGGAAATACTAAAACTTTAAAGGATTCTTTGAATCTCAGTTGAAGAGGTTCATGCAGAATATTTACTTACCTATTAGTATGGAATAAACAGGTCCCCAAAATTAATCATGTTTTACTTAATCTGTTTAATGGTTGCACCATTAAAAATGTATGTAGAGCTTACCTTGCAGGATGGAGTGTTTCCGTGGCAGTTGTGATTGTGGTGTCTAAGCATCATCTCTGTGTTGGGTATTTGTACATGTTCAGATGTGTGAATGGATGTCATCGATAGACCTCATGGTAGACAACAGGAGTATGACACAACAATGGACTTCCTGGTGTACCGAGACCACTCATGTGTTGGATGGACTTCCTGGTGTACTGAGATGACTCACGTGTTGAATGGACTTCCTGGTGTACCGAGACGACTCACGTGTTGGATGGACTTCCTGATGTACCGAGATGACTCACGTGTTGGATGGACTTCCTGGTGTACCGAGACCACTCACGTGTTGGATGGACTTCCTGGTGTACTGAGATGACTCACGTGTTGGATGGACTTCCTGGTGCACTGAGATGACTCACGTGTTGGATGGACTTCCTGGTGTACCGAGATGACTCACGTGTTGGATGGACTTCCTGATGTACTGAGACAACTCACGTGTTGGATGGACTTCCTGGTGTACCGAGATGACTCACGTGTTGGATGGACTTCCTGGTGTACCGAGATGACTCACGTGTTGGATGGACTTCCTGGTGTACTGAGATGACTCACGTGTTGGATGGACTTCCTAGGGTATCGATACCACTCGCATGTTGGATGGACTTCCTAGGGTATCGATACCACTCGCATGTTGGATGGACTTCCTGGTGTATACCGAGATAACTCGCATGTTGGAGGGATGTGATGTGTGAGTATGATATTAATTGTGATATTTTCCTGTGTATTTATTATGAACGTTTATATTTTCCTGTGTATTTATTATGAACATATATGTGTAATTGGTAATGTATGGTAAGCACGACTAAGAGCTTAATTTTATTATTTTATGTATATTATAGTTTGTCCTGTTGTAACGGACTGGGATGCCTTTTCTTAAAATAGGGAGGAGTGTAGTGGTCCTTGAGATGCTGGGTACATATTGCCCTGTCATCTTGGGAACACATCTCTGTTAACGCACCTGTTGTGGGTTCTGTAGAGACACATGCTTTTCCATACACAGCATCAATGCCCCCTGTATTTTTCACACAACTTTAAAAAAAGTTTTAAGTTTTGGATCTGTTACTGATTTACTGTGAGGGTAGCTTAATTAAGGTTTTCTTTAGCATATAGCTAATATCTTTTGAATCTACAGAATTTTCTTTGAGATTTATATTTTAACAGTTTTTATTGCAGGTTAAAATAGTAATTTTGCCTATTTTGTTGTTGTTTTAGATGATGGACCACCCTACTTCCTTTTACAACAGGTGCCATTACAGATTCACAAAGTTCCAATGTTCAGTTTTCCATGACCGCTATTCAATGAGTGCACTACTTTATGTATTCTACTTTCAAAATGTCTATTATTTGTAATACATTTTAGATTGGATTTTAAACGCTGCATATTTCACATATTCAGATTTTTTGCACAAGTGTGATATTTAATTTAGTCATAAAGTCAAAATTATACAGTCTTTCAACAAACATTTGTCATCTGTCATGTTTAATTCAGAGTCAGTAGGCAACACTGAAGATATCCATTTACTGCTTTTCAGTCCCTGGGAAAAAGAATAAAGTTGACTGGACTTTCCACACTGTCCCAGGTAGCAGCTTATGATGAACAGAATGCAGTATGCATAGCGAGCTTCATCAAAGGTAAGTCTTCACAGTAGTGTTTGTAGCAATTCTCGTCCTCTGTCCTTCATCAAAGCTTTAGGTCCAAGGCAAATCTTCTCTGCATGGATTCTCTTATGTCTTTAGTTCTTCCTGGAAACATGACTGCTGAATGGAGCTTTAGCAGTCTGTTTCTTTGAGAATCAAAGAAGTGAGGCAAGTCTTTAAAGGTTTTCAATGACATGTCCTTGTTTTTTCAGATGCAATGGCCTTATCTCCATCACTGTTGAAATGGGGAAAGACTAGTGGACAGTCATTACTTTATAAGAAAACCATTGTCAACCAAGGCACAGCCGGGGTTGACAATGGTTTTTGAGGGGTAAAAATTTTCAGTGTTACACTCAACTACATGCAATATTTATTATATTATACTCAATATTTTATATGAATACATATAACAGTGAACCTTGCGCGCATAAATTCTTCGCAGTCACTATTTTTTGGAATATCACCCGTCATTAAGCAATATTGACTGTTGCTATGCTGGAGGGCGTGACTTCATCATTCAGCCAGTAATAGTATTTTTATGCCCCCGGATCGAAAGATCCCGGGGGTGTTTCATTTTTGTCCTGTCTGTCTGTCTGTTATCAACTTTAAGTTTGCCCAAAACTTTTGATTGGTTGGAGCTTTGACTTTCATATTTCACAGGTGTATTCCTTGTGACAAGGCCTTTCTTTGGATACCAACAACTTTGACCTTTTGACCTTGAGCTTGGAGTTTGATCTTCTTTTGAAAAACTTTAACCTTGGCCATAACTTTTGAACTGTTGGAGCTAGGGCTTTCATAATTCACATGTGTAATCCTTGTGACAACACCTTCCTTTTGATACCAACCACTTTGACCTTTTTACCTAGACCTAGGAATTTGACCTACTTTTGAAAAACTTTAACCTTGGCCATAACTTTTGAATTGTTGGTGCTAGGGCTTTCATTCTTCACATATGTAATCCTTGTGACAAGACCTTCCTTTGGATACCAACAACTTTGACCCTGAACTTGACGTTTTACTTACTTTTAAAAAAACTTTAACCTTCGCCATAACTTTTGAACAGTTGCAGCTAGGGGTTTCAAATTTCACAGGTATATTCCTCGAGACAAGACCTTACTTTGGGTACCAACATTTTTTAGGTCACCTGAGTCACTCAGGTGACCTATTGCTATCCGTTCTCGTCCGTCGGCATGCGTCGTGCGTTAACATTTTAACATTTTTAGCTTCTTCTCTGAAACCGCTTAACCAATTTCAACCAAATTTGGCATATAGCATCTATGGGTGAAGGGGAACAAAAATTGTGAATTTCATGGTCCCTGCCCCCCTGGGGCCTGAGGGGTGGGGCTAAAACCACCAAAAATAATGCAATCTTTAAAAATCTTCTTCTTTACTCCTGGACATCAAGCAGTCAAACTGTTGGCATCATTGTAATAAGCATTGAGCCCTCTACCAAAATTGTGAAATTCATGGCCCCAGGGTCAGGGGTTCTGGCCCCAGGGTGGGGCTATATAGATCATATAGTGAAAATGCATTATTTCTTTGAAAATCTTCTCTGCTCCTGGGTATCAAATAAGGTAATTAAGTACATAGTTATGAAGAGCAAGAGTGCCTCTTCCAAAATTGTGAAATTCATGGCCCCAGGGTCAGGGGTTCTGGTGTTAGGGCAGGGCTCTATAGATTATATAGTGAAAATGCATTTATTCTTTGAAAATCTTCTCTGCTCCTGGGTATTAAATAAAGTAACTAAGTACATAGTTATGATGAGCAAGAGTGCCTTTTCCAAAATTGTGAAATTCATGGCCCCAGGGTCAGGGGTTCTGGCCCCAGGGTGGGGCTATATAGATCATATAGTGAAAGTGCATTATTTCTTTGGAAATCTTCTTCTCTGCTCCTGGGTATCAAATAAGGTAACTAAGTACATAGTTATGATGAGCAAGAGTGCCTCTTCCAAAATTGTGAAATTCATGGCCCCGGGGTTAGGGGTTCTGGTGTAAGGGCGGGGCTCTATTGATTATATAGTGAAAATGCATTAATTCTTTGAAAATCTTCTCCTCTGCTCCTGGGTATTAAATAAAGTAATTAAGTACATAGTTATGATGAACAAGAGTGCCTCTTCCAAAATTGTGAAATTCATGGCCCCAGGGTCAGGGGTTCTGGTGTTAGGGCGGGGCTCTATAGATTATATAGTGAAAAAGCATTAATTCTTTGATAATCTTCTTCTCTGCCCCTGGGTATTAAGTAAAGTAACTAAGTACATAGTTATGATGAGCAAGAGTGCCTCTTCCAAATTTGTGAATGTCATGGCCCCAGGGTCAGGGGTTCTGGTGTTAGGGCGGGGTTCTATCAACTATCTAGTGAAAATGCATTAATTCTTTGAAAATCTTCTCTGCTCCTGGGTATTAAATTAAGTAACTAAGTACATAGTTATGATGAGCAAGAGAGCCTCTTCCCAAATTGTGAATTTCATGGCCCCAGGGTCAGGGGTTCTGGTGTTAGGGCGGGGCTCTATCGACTATATAGTGAAAATGCATTAATTCTGTGAAAATCTTCTCCTCTGCTCCTGGGCATTAAGGTGATAAACTACAGACCCTAAAACATGCTACTACACCACTTGCACGGTTCGGTTCGTTTCGTTTTGTGTACGGTACGGTACGCTTCTTGCACGGAACGGTACGCTTTGTGAACGGTACGGTTCGCTTTGTGCACGGTACGGTACGCTTCTTGCACGGAACGGTTCGTTTTGTGTACGGTACGGTTCGCTTTGTGCACGGTACGGTACGCTTCTTGCACGGTACGGTTCGTTTTGTGTACAGTACGGTTCGCTTTGTGCACGGTACGGTACGCTTCTTGCACGGAACGGTACAGTTCGTTTCTGAGGTGTAGTAGCACGTTTTATGGTCTGTAAGTACATAGTTATGATGAGGAGGTGGGCCCCTTCCAGAATTGTGAAAGCCATGGCCCCTGGGTCAGGGGTTCTGGTGTTAGGGCAGGGCTCTATTGATTATATAGTGAAAATGCATTAATTCTTTGAAAATCTTCTTCTCTGCTCCTGGGTATTATTTAAACAAACTAAGTGCATGGTTATGATGCATAAGGATGCCTTTTCAAAAATTGTGAATTTCATGGCCCCAGGGTCAGGGGTTCTGGTGTTAGGGTGGGGCTCTATTGATTATATAGTGAAAATGCATTGATTCTTTGAAACTCTTCTTCTCTGCTTCTGGAGATTATTTAAACAAAGTAAGTGCTTGGTTATGATGCATAAGGATGCCTTTTCAAAAATTGTGAATTTCATGGCCCCAGGGTCAGGGGTTCCGGTGTTAGGGCGGGGCTCTATTGATTATATAGTGAAAATTCATTGATTCTATGAAAATCTTCTTCTTTGCTACTGGAGATTATTTAAACAAACTAAGTGCATGATTATGATAGGCAAGGATGCCTCTTCCAAAATTTTTAAATACATGGCCTCAGTTTTTGGGGTTCTTGAGGGGGGGGGGGGAGGGGGGCTCTATTGATTATATAGTGAAAATGCATTAATTCTATTAATTAATCATTAACTAATCCTGTCTGCTCCTTAGTGTTGAGCTGATAAATAAATTGCTTAGCTATGATGAAGATGGGAGCTTCGAACAGAATTTTTAAATCTTGTGGTCCTAGGGTCAGGGGTCCTGGCATAACGAGGAAGGGGGGGGGGGCTTTTGATAATATAGTGGAAACGTGTTAATTCTTTGAAGTCCATAGTTATGATGATGAGGGTAACTCTTCCAAATTTGTAAATTTCTTGACCTTTGGTCTTGAGTTCTGGTGTTAGGGTAAGGCTTTGTTGAATCTGTAGTGAAAATGCATTGTACCTGTGAAATTCTTCTCTGCTTCTGGGCATATCGAAAGCAAACTGAGTAAAAGTTTAAATGATATAAGTAAGCGTATTTCTACCAGATTTTTGAACATCTGGACAATTTGTCTAAGCATTCTGGTCCTGGACAGGGCTTTATTAATTTGTATTCTACTGAGAGAAGTTATTCCCCTTTTCCATTCACCTTTGATAATTAATCACTGTAAATAATGTATTTGAAAGATTAATAGAATAAGATAATTATGCAAGAATGTTTATCGTATAATTCAAAAAGTACTTACTTAGTTTTAATAATCAGGCAGACCTGTAAGTAATAGATAAATAAAAATGAGACAAAAATAACTTATCTTATTAAAAGTTCTTCAAAGACCATAAGAGAGGTCAATGCTAGAGGTCTTAATATGGGTTTAAAAATAGTACAGAAGCACTAATAGTTTGTTAATAGTCTGCATGGTGATAATATTAAGTGGGGGATAGATTAGAACTTAAGTTATGAGTTGATACTGAATACTAGACTAATTATTTTGTTGATCCTGATCTTCCTACTTCTCTTGCTTTAGGGCAACAAAGCTTCATCTGTCAGTGTATTTAACTTCTAAATTGTTGTATTATACTCAGGTGACCGTTAAGGACCTTGGGCCTCTTGTTATCTTTTGGCCTGGATTTTGACTTGCATTTGAGAAACTTTAACCTTTGCCATAAGCTGCCATATGGGGGCATCAGTGTTTCACAAACAGATCTTGTTTAACAAATGTTTCTTGATGAATCAGATTCAGCTAATTTACATGAAAGTATGATATTACATTTTGCAGCCCATTTCTATTCATCCCCATTATGGTCTCTGGAGGAATGGTTGCAGTACAGTCTTTATGTCCTGGACAGGTAACTTTCTTTTCCTGTGTGTTACATATATTTTATCTCCTTCCTTTCTGATAGATGTCAGAAGTCCATGTTACCTAGCTTCCTCTCTGATAGATGTCAAAAGTCCACATTTTTCCTTTTATAGTTCTCAAATGTGTTGCTTTGTTTTTATGCCCCTAGATTGAAAGATCCTGGGGGTATATTGTTTTTGTCCTGTCTGTCTGTTTGTCTGTCTGTCTGTTGTCAACTTTAACCTAGCCCATAACTATTGTGCTGTCAAGGATAAGGCTTTAATATTT